ACCCTTGAATCGCCTCAACCCTTTACCCAAAGAAAAACTACTTGCTACTTATGATTGAAACCGATTGAAAAGCGATAAAAGAAGAACTAAGCATGATTACGCGATAGATTAAAGGAAAAGACTAAATATTGAAAAGATTTAAGTTCAAAATATGAAAAGCTCAAAGTTTGACAATGGCGGAATCGCCTCACCCCCAGAACAGAAAAATAATAAGCAAAATGTAGGATAATGAAAGAGATAGCCGCCGTTTGCAATGGTCCCCCCCCCCTCACTACGGTCCAAAAATGGTTAAGGCCCCAGAGATCGATCAGTTCACTCGATCGTCTTCAAGGATCGTCGTCTTCTGCTCGATCATCAAGTCGATCTGGTTGGAAGGATCGAGCTCTTCATTCGATCCTCTGGTCGATCTTTGGATGATCGGGTCGTGGTCTCGATCTGGCTCTCGTTCTGCATGGTGTCATCTACGTCTGTACTCCAGATCGATCTCCTCTCTTGATCTTAGTCTCGATCCTTCCCCTTGAATCGACTTGGGTCACTCGCGACCTGCCTTGTTCGATCCGCTACTCGATCTTGGGTCCTTTGCATGCATGGCTGAATTCTCCAAGTGTCCACAAGCTTCGTTTTGATCCTCCTTACGTCCACATAACCTCCACAACTCCAGAGTGCTCCAAACAACCTGATAATGATGCAAAAGTGCAAGAAATATGCGAAATGCGAATGCAAAGAGACCTAGGACCTAAAATGCAACAAATGGATGAAACTAGCCTATAATGCAAGATGAATGCATGAAAAACTATCCTAAATGCATGCAAAATATGCAAAATATATGGTAATATCAAGGATCTCTGAATCCGGTCAAGGTAAGAGAAGCCCTGGAATCATAGAGATCTTTTCCAAGACTCCCTAAGCCTTAAGACCCCAAAATCCTAGAAAGGAATAAGTGAAGAACAAGAAAAATACCAAAAGCTTAAACCCTTTAAACCCTTGAATCGCCTCAACCCTTTACCCAAAGAAAAACTACTCGCTACTCATGTTTAAAACCGATTGAAATGCAGTAAAAGAAGAACTAAGCATGATTAAGGCAAGCGATTAAAGGAAAATGCTTAATAATGAAAAGATTCAAAGTTTTAAAACAAGAAAAGCTCTAAGGTTCGACAATGGCCTCCGTCCTCAGAGAAAAAAAAGAAAAGGATAAGACAAAGTGTGGATAATGAAAGTGACAGCCGCCTCCTTCCTAAAATGGCCAAACATCCCTAATGGTCCCCTCACTACGCTCTAAAAATGAGCTGGTCGGATAAGGCTCTAGAGATCGATCTCGAGATCGATCAGTTCACTCGATCTTCTTCATGGATCGTTTTCTTTGGCTCGATCTTCTACTCGCTCCATTGGTCGATCGAGTCGTGAACTCGATCTGGCTCTTGATCTGCATGGCATGGCCCACGTCCATACTCACAATCGATCTCTCCACTCGATCTCATGCTCGATCTTCCTCTTTGGATCGACTTGAGTCACTCGATCTTCTGGTCGATCTCGTCTAGATCGACCTGCCTTGCTCGATCAGCTGCTCGATCCCGGTTCCTTTGCTGAATGGCTGAGTTCTCCAAGTGTCCACAAGCTTCCTCACAAACCTTAGCACGTCCATAAATTCTCCACAGCTCCAAAGTGTCCAAAAACAACCTGAATGTGATGCAAAATGCAAGAAACATGCAAATGCCAATGCAAAAGTGCTCTAGGACCTAAAATGGTGCAAACTAGCCTAAAATGATAGATGTATGCATGAAAACTACTTTAAATGCATGTTAAATATGCTAAATATATAGTTATATCAGCAATGATCAAAGAAGCAAAACAGAGTAAATAAACAGAGTATGGAAAATTCGAAATTCAGATAAAGAGAAGACAAGTTCCTAGATGTGGTTATTCATTCTAGGGAATTCAAAGACTAATTAAGGTTGTTTCAAACATCATTGATCAAGCAAACAAGCTAGCAATGCTGGTTCCTAGACATAGAATTCACAAACAAGCAAGATAAGTCCAATCTCTTGATAAATAGCCCTTTGCTAAACACTTTAACAAGAAGTAACTCTCATTAGTGCTAAAACATTCAACAAGTACTAGGAATCAACTCTATTCATGTCAAAATATTCCTCAAATAGTCAATCTCTTGAGCTAATGCCAGTAAATCCTCTATTGAACAAGATTAACATTTCATCAAACAGTTGGTGGGCATAAGTGAAAGCCTAAATCCAAGATTCAAGTGATCAAGTTAATAGAGAGGAACCCATGTTATTAATCACTAAACAAACTTTAATCAATCTCCAAATTCCCCTAATCACCACATCTAAGAACCCTAATCAAACTACTCACTAATAGTCATGTTTAACACTAAATCACAAGAGGAAAATATGCTAATCATGATTAAAAGAGAGATTAAGAAAAGATTAAAGGCAATTATAAACTTATATTAAATAAAGCAAGAAATTGTCGTACAAACTCAAAGAAATTATTCAAGAACAGTAGAATGACAAGACTTGTCAAAAATCCCCAGAAAATGAGTATTTATACATAAAGAGGGAAGCCCTAAAAGTAATAGCAGAATGGTAAATAAAAGCAGCTTCAGACTGAGATCTTATTGGTCTACATGTGACTGATAGGGTGATCGATAGGCTTTCTATCGGTCTAGAAGGTGACCGATAGGGTGACCGGAATATACATGGCATACTTCTATCGGTCACTTCTTTGACCGATAGCCTGATCGATAGCTTCTCTATCGGTCACTGCTTGACCGATAGCCTTCGTGCCTTGACCAATAGGGCTTGCAGAAATAGTTTGCATTGGTTCCTCTTGCTCCATCCAAGCTCAGCAAGCCTCCTGGTTCATTCCCAAAGCTCCTCCATGCTCCTCATAGCTCCATAAGCACCTAAAAACATCCTTTATGCAAAGAAAATGCAAACTACATCCTAAATGCAACCTAAGTCTAAAAGGAGAAGAAAATGGGACAAAAGATAAGAAAGACATGCAAAAGAGAACCAAAACATGCACTAAATACAACCCTAAGTGATGTAAATATATGAGATATCACTTATATCAGGAACCTTTCTGATTGCATACGCAGCCATACACAATCTCTTGGTTTGAATGTCACTTCTTTTCTTCCTTTGTCAGCTTGCTTCTTATATTGAATGGTCTTCTTTTCAATGTTCTCTTTGGTTTTGAGATGCTGCTTCTTGAAAAACTCAGCTTTACTTTCCCATCTTGACTTGTATGCTCGTATCGGGGTAATGGTGAGAGATCAATGGTGGCCTTCAAAAGGGTGGATAAAGTGTGATTTATAACCTCTGTTTTCCCATCTATTTGAGGATTACATGTTGTGGAGAAGAGCAGCTTGGTTCCTAGCTTTCTTCAAATGTGTTTTCCAGAAATGGCTGAGAAATTTGGTGGCTCTATCTGATACAATAGTCCTTGGTAGGCCATATAAACGCACCACCTCTTTAAAAAAAATGTCACTTATTTGTGTTGCATCATTGGTTATTGCACAAGGTATAAAATGTGCCATCGTGAAGAATCGGTCAACCACCACAAAGATGGAGTCCTTATTCCATATCTGGCAGACCTAATACAAAATCTTTAGAAACATCCACCTAAGGCATGTTAGCAATAGGCAATGGAATAAAAAGACTATAAGGATGTGACATGGATTTGGCTTTGAGGCAAGTGGCATATTTGGAGAAGAATCGTACATCTTTTTTAAGATGAGGACAAAAGAAATGTTTTACTATGATGCTCGGAGTTTTGTCTATGCTAAAGTGACCCATCAAACCATCTCCATGTGATTCTCTCATCAGTAAATCACGCATAAATCCTCTAAACAAGAAATCCTCATGTTGATCGAATAATCCAAAGGCTCCTTTGTTGCATTTTTTGTAGATATCTGTAAAATCAGGATCAGTTTCATATTGTATTTTAATATGTTCAAAACTCAATATTTTTGCCTCTATGGTAGTGATCAAAGAATAGCGTCTGGAAAGTACATCAGCCACTATGTTTTCTTTTCCATTCATGTACTTGATAATGTAGGGTAATGTTTCTACAAACTCTAACCATTTGACATGTTTCTTTTTAAATGACGTTTGTCTTCTTAGTGTTTAAGAGTTTCATGATCTGTATAAATAACAAACTCATTAGATAATAAGTAGTGCTGCCAAGTTTATAAAGTCCTTATCGAAATATTAAGCTATTTGCCATAGATGGAATAGTTTAAGACAGCTCCATTAAATTTTTCACTGAAGTAAGCCACTGGTGTCCCTCCTTAAGTTGGTATAGCTCCTATAACAGTCTCTGAAATATCACATTCAATCTCAAAAGTTTGATCAAAGCTAAGTAATATCAATACTAACACATGAATAAAACTGTTTTTGAGTTTGTTGAATGCTTCTTCTTGTGTTTATCCCCATTCAAAAGCAACATAATTTTTAATTACTAAAGTAAATAGTACTGAAATCTTTTACAAATCTTGTATTGAAATTTGTTAGTACATGCTCTTATATGTCTAATCATTAAAGGTGTTAACCATTCTTGTATTATCTTAATAATTTTTAAAAACTTACAACAAATTCTAAAAGTATCACTTAATTAATATAATTATGTTTTTCAATTAGCATAAAGATATAGAGATTTGTGTTAAATTAATAGTAATTATATTTTTAAGATATTAATTATTAATTTTTTTTATTTTTCTAATACTTTAATTATATTTAAATTTTTATATAATAAAATACTGATTTAAATCAATTAAATCAAATTTCTTCGTTCTATATAGTTTAAAACTCTTTGTAATGGGCTAAAGTGTATTTATAAAGAAAACAAAAAGGGTTGTAACTTATAAGTCACAGCACGGCCCATATAATATGAGGTTCTAGATTGCTAAAGAAGTTTCTGGAACCTTGTGTCCACGTGCTTAGACAAATAGTAAGAAGAAGCTTTGAATTTAGTGTCTAGAACGTTCTTTTACTCTCAACTTATATCCGTTTCTCTCTCCTCCACGCTTTACTCTCAAGATCAAACAAAACATTTTCAGATATTCACAAACTTTCCTCAAACTAAAGTTTCTAATTTGATACAGTTTAATACAAAGCCAGACTACAGAGTCAAATACGTGAAAAAGTCGCTGTCTTTGGCATATGGATTAGAAATGGAGCAACTGAAAGTGGAACTGGAGGAAGATACGGTGACGTACGGTGGTTCAACGGCGGTAGCTTCGTCGTCGGTTGGATCATCGTCGTCTCCGAGACCAATGGAAGGACTAAACGAAACAGGGCCACCTCCGTTTCTGACCAAGACTTACGAGATGGTGGAGGATCCGGCGACGGACACGGTGGTTTCTTGGAGTAATGGCCGTAACAGCTTTATTGTTTGGGATTCTCACAAATTCTCCACCACTCTCCTTCCTCGTTACTTCAAGCACAGCAATTTTTCAAGCTTTATCCGTCAGCTCAACACTTATGTAAGTGCCTCTTTTGCTATTTCATCATCTAGTTTCTCTGCTTCTTCCTTTTTTTGTTGTTTCTAATCCCAATTTTGGATTTCCTTAGATGGGTTTCTTTAAAGGTTAGTCCTCAGCTTTAAAGGTTAGTTCTTTGTGCTTTTAAACGACTAATTACAAATGGGTTTCGAAAATTTCGTTCTAAAGTGTTGTTGAGTAATCGTAATTTGATATTTATCTCTGAGTTAAGCTATAAATTGACTTTTTTGGATTGTGAAACTGCAAAATTACGGGAAATTAACTATAATTTTGTGGAATTTAGTAGGTTAATAAAATTAGCGAGGAAAATTGATTTAATTGCTCTGTTTTTAAAGGCTATGGCAGTTCAAAATCAGGGAAAATGAACAAAAAATCTATTGGAATATAGTAACATATTGAATTAGTCAAGAAAAACTTGATCTAATTGAATCCTTGTAGTGACATCTCTCTCAAATTTCATAGCTTATCGTTTGATATGACCCGGTTCTGCTCGCAGCTTACCTTGAAGCCTCTGTTTTTGAAAGTTAATATCTTGAAAGTCATGACAATAAGGATTGTATTGTATTGCAGGGATTTAGAAAGATCGATCCGGATAGATGGGAATTTGCGAGCGAAGGGTTCTTAGCAGGCCAGAAGCACCTCCTTAAGAGCATAAAACGAAGGAGAAACATGGGTTTGCCGAATGTGAATCAGCAAGGATCAGGATCAGGATCAGGATCAGGAATGTCGTGTGTGGAAGTTGGGCAATACGGATACGAAGGAGAGGTAGAGAGGCTGAAGAGGGATCATAGTCTCCTTGTAGCTGAAGTAGTTAGGCTGAGGCAGCAGCAACACAGCTCCAAGAATCAAGTTGCTGCAATGAAGCAGAGGTTGCTCGTTACAGAGAAGAGACAGCAACAGATGATGACGTTTCTCGCTAAGGCGTTGAACAATCCAAACTTTGTTCAGCAGTTTGCATTGATGAGCAAAGAGAAGAAGAGTCTCTTCGGTTTGGATGGCGGGAGGAAACGTAGGCTCACTTCTAGTCCAAGCTTGGGGGCTATGGAAGAGAGAATGTTGCATGAACAGGAGTTTGATAGAATGAAGGAGGATATGGAGACATTACTTGCCGCGGCTATCGATAATGAGTCGAGTAATTTGATGCCTACTAAGGAGGAACAGTGTTTGGAAGCTATGAATGTGATGATGGAAGATGGCAATCTAGAGGCAGAGGTGGGTGTGAAAGTTGAAGATCTGGTTGCTTCACCGTTGAATTGGGACAGTGAGGATCTACATGACATTGTAGATCAAATGGGTTTTCTTGGATCAGAACCTTGATAAACAGCTTAACTCATTAACTTGTCTGAAGACAGTTTTACGCCATCTAAGTCGTGGTAATTGCTACCACCTTTTATTTACTTGTTAAACTGTCTTTTTTGCTAATACTTGTTAAATTGTTCTTTTGCTTTGTTTCGATAATGCATGAAGTGTTGTGGTTTCTTGTATATTGTGTTTTTCATGTTCTAATGAATAAAAAGCTCTGATTTGATGTTCTTCCCTCTCCAGATGTTGCATTCAAGATTGAGGGGGTTGTATGTAAGAGAGAAGACCAGAATTCATTAACTTTTGTTAAGATTTGTTTGGGAAAAGAGACCAAGAAGCTCTGTGGTCGCTGCTAACTTGCTAAGGTGTGTGTTTTGACGTATGTTGGTTTACATTGTTGTGTTGAAGAGTTTATAAATTATGTAGCATGGTCTTTAGACTGGCAAATTGACTGGTGATTGTATATATATTATATAAGTTTTTTTCGAATGAAAATCTAAGTGATGGACTGATGGTAATTTGCAATAACTGAAACTCGATAGATAATGATTTTGATAAAATAGATAATGTGTATCTCTATCATTGAATCGTTGACAGCTCAGTTGATGTAAAATGGTTTACATGTGTGAATCTTTAACTCGTAACATAATGGTTTAGATTGTACCAACTCAATTACTACAATTATACTAATTAGTTGTGAAATAAAGAAATAAATCGATAAGCAAACATGAATTTTGCAGACTTTGGACGGTGTGATCCCGATTTTGGGAAAATTTGGGAAATGCAACTACTATCATAGCTAAAATCTAGGTGGTTTCCTGGCACCTTTGTGCGGAGTTCAGTTAATCTTTTAATTTTTCTTATAAAATTTAACTAAATAATGATATGCGTATACATACGAGTTTATATTTTATTATATATATCTGGTGAGAACAATTCCTACTCAAGAACTTCTGGCTCTTCTCGCTGATTAAAGAATCAGAGAACAAAACATCCAGAAACTAGAAACATATTGGTTTTGCTCTTGTTCTTTCTTTTGTTGTTCTGTCGATCTTTTCATTTTCTAGCTCTTGAATTTATTTTGTTCTCTGTATTTCATTCTCAGCTTTTTTATGTACATTAAAAAAAAATGTTCTTCCACTCAGATTGTTCAATTAAGATAAATCCATAGAGTCTGGTGGTATTATTGTTTCAATCTTCTTTCATTGTTGCTGTACAAAGATTATCAAATTCGGTTTGTGTGTCTCCATCGTTTTCATTTTTTTTAGAATTGTCTTTTTAATATGAAGTATGTCAATCGATGTCCAAATAATGATGAAAATGCTACAAGATATGGACGATGATGATTCAATCTTTCATGTTCAAAGATTTTTCATGGAGATGATCAAATTTTGTTTCCAATTTTCCTTAGTGATTTTAAATATACAAATTTATTTCAGTATAAAGCCCAAATAATGATGAAAATTTTACGAAACTGGAGATAATGATTAAATCTTTGTCGGACTAATTTTTGTATGGACGATGATGATTCATGCGCTGTCTCTGTTTTTTTGTCTTCATGCTCTGCCTTCTAAGAAATAAGAGAACGAAATATATTTTCACCATTATTTCCATCGTATAATCATAAAAAAAGAAATATTTGAAAACAAAGAAGAAATCATGATAATAGATACGTGTCTGATCCATCAGGGTCTGTTCGTTTCCTTATCTAGACACCGCATATTAATACAACATTCAGATACCATGCTTCGATGCAGTATTTAGATGTTTTTCGTTTATGTTCGTTTGTATATCTGTATTTACGTGAAAACAAATTTTCAATATTTTTTTCTAAAAACAAATTATTTTGAAAAATTTACGGTTTTGGTAAGAAACTGAATTTTATAGTTTTGACGAAAAACATAATTTTACGGTTCACGATTTTTTCGTAAATTTATGTTTTTGGTAAAAAAACAAAATTTTACAATTTTTCTGTGATTTTACGGTTTTAATGAAAAAATGAAAATTTGCTGTTTTTCGTAATTTTATAGTTTTGGCGGAAAATAAAATTTTATAGATTTCTCGTAATTTTATGGTTTTGGCAGAAAAACAAAATTTTACAGTTTTGGCAGAAAACGGAATTTTACGGTTTTGGCGGAAAAATAAAAGTTTATAATTTTCTTGTTATTTTACGGTTTTGATGGGAAAATGAATTTTACGGGTTTCTCGTAATTTTATAGTTTTGACTGGAAAACAGAATTTTACAGTTCTGGTGGGAAACGAAATTTTACGGTTTTGGTGAAAAAACAGAATTTTACGGTTTTGGCGAAAAAATAAATTTTACGGTTTTTTCGTAATTTTACGGTTTTGACAGTAAAACGGAATTTTACGGGTTTCTCATTATTTTACAGTTTTTGTGGGAAAACATAATTTTACAGTTTTCTCGTAATTTTACGGTTTTAGCGGGAAAATATACTTTTACTGTTTTGGCAGAAAACATATTTTTACAGTTTTGACGGAAAAATATAATTTTACGGTTTTTGGCGGGAAAATGAAATTTTTCGGTTTTGGAGAAAATAGAATTTTGTATTCTTAGCGAGAAAACAAAATTTTGCGGGTTTGATGGAAAAATGGAATTTACGGTTTTGGCGAGAAATCAGAATTTTGTGGTTTTAGCGGAAAAATGGCATTTTACGGTTTTGGTTTCAAAACAAAATTTTACGGTTTTGGCACGAAACATAATTTTTCAGTTTTGGGGGAAAAATGAGATTTTACGATTTCGGCAGGAAAATAAAATTTTATAGTTTTTGCAGAGAAACATAATTTTGCAGTTTTAGAAAAAAATGAAATTTTACGGTATTATTTCAGTTTGTGATTTTGAGGAAAAAATATTATTTTGTTGGTACTTTTACTATTTATGTGTAAATTTTTTATTTTTTATTATATATATATATATTTGGTATTAGTGTAAAATTAAATAAATTATAAATCATTTCAATTATAATTGTATGTAAGGCTTTTGACATTTTGGATGAACTTTAATGTATCCAAATTCTTATTTCAAATACATCCAAAATATCCAAATATTTGGGATGAACTTCATTATGCATCTAGATTTTTTTTATCTAGATACAATCTTAGTTGGATATAAACGAACAACATCTCAAAAGAACATCCATATACTACATCTAGATTATCAATAAACAAACTAGAAAGCACAATTTCATATTTTGGATGTAAAAAGCAAACCTCGTATTTGAGCCAATTCATTGCTGGAGAACCATCTATCATCGTCCCTTGCATCAGAACGCTAAGCACACTGTTCGCATCTCTCATGTTTCTTTGGCAGAGCAGCTCAAGGAGGATCTTAGGCAATTTAGTGCCCTGCTATGCAGTCTCGAGTCCAATGACCGTCAACACCACAATTAAAGCATTGAGCAGATCCAGAAGGGGGGCCTCTACTATCATAATCCTGAGAACCACGACATGCCTATCAAACAAACATGATAGTCAATGACTTAAGCAAACTCAGTCATCCTTTAATAGACAAATGATACAGCCTGTAAACAAAGATCTAAACAATTTACCCCTATTGATAGAAAGAGCGAGAGACCAAGGAGGGTAGGAGAAACCGAGCTAATATATCCGGCGGATCTGGCAGGTTTGGTGGCTCCGGAGGAACGGGGATGGTCAGCGACACTGAGGAGGAGGTTCTCCGGTTGAAAGAGAGAGACATGCTCACTCAGTTCCGACAGAGTGAAACGATGGATCGAAAGCTCAGTCCTGAAGAGCAACATAGAGTTCTGATAAGCCTGTGACCTATCTCAGTTTGTAAAATAGAAGAACTCTGACAGAAGAGAGTAATGATAACAGGATTTTTCTAGCCTTTAACTTATCAAATCCTAAAGCAAAGCATAGTGGTAAGTACTTTAAGTGTCAATCCAGCTCAGGTATGATGAAAGATACTAGAAATGCAAGAACTTGTAAATCTAAGTAGAATCCAGATTATTTGAGGAGAAAATCTATGAAAACTAAATGCAGCTACCAAATGACCACATAAACTATTTTAAAATCTCTACTCATGGGTTAAACAACTACTTGATGACTTCTAAGAATTTAAAATGCAGAACTACTAGTTTTTAAAATTTGAACACTAAAAGCAGACAGAAAAAGAAAGTTCTGACAACCTAGGATGATATTTAAGATACTAAGACAAAAGATGCAAACTTTAGAACTAGAAAATGATAAATTTAAGTTTTTAGATGCTAAAATAGATTCAAGGTGAGGATCATGCTTAAGAGGTTCAAGATTCAAACCTTGGGTTTTGAAAACATAGATATACACATTTGAGTGCCATCTCTAAGCCTTGAGAAGCTAAACTAGATTTATCCATGGCGTGTGGTATAAATCCTTTCCTTAACCTTTCCTCCTAACCCATGGCGTGTGGTGGAAAGAAAGATTGAAGAACATGAAGCATAAATCTCAAGAAATGGCCTAACTAGCTCCCTAAGCATCCATGGCGTTTGGGAAAAGATGAGCTAGTCTCTTAGATTTGGTTTTAAGGGATCTCCTGAATCCTGCTAAGGTAAGGAAATCCCTGAGATCAAAGAGATCTTTCTCAAGACTCTCTAGGCATTAAGACCCTCAAATCCAAGAAGAGATTAAGTTAAGAGCAAGAAAAAGACCAAAGCTTAAACTCTTAAACCCCTTAATCACCTCAACCTTAAAACCTTGGTAAACTACTCACTACACATGATTAAAACAGATGAAAATGCAAATGAGGAAAAGATAAACATGATTAAACTACTAAACAAGAGAGATTTAAGAGAAATACTTAAGATTAAAACGAGATTAAAGTTTTACAAACTAAGAAAAGCTTAAAAGTAAACAATGGCGGTTTTTCAAAGCATAAAGATGAAGGAGACAGAATGTATGGTTCACAATATGTCCGATCCGTCACCCAAAAATAGGTTAAAAACATTTATACCAAAGAAGGAAATGGTCCCCTCACTAAACTCCAAAATGTGAGCTGTCCGGATAAGGTTCAGAGATCGACCTGAGCAGTCGATCTCTTACTCGATCTTCCGCACAGAACGTCTTCTTTTACTCGATCTTCGGGTCGATCCTCGGGCGATCGAATCGTGACCTCGATCTGGCTCTCGTTCTTCCTCCTTGAAACGACCCGAGTGGCTTGATCTTCTGGTCGATCTCGTCTAGATCGACCTTCCTAGCTCGATCTTCACCTCGATCCCGGTTCCTTTGCTGCATGGCCGAGTTCCTCCAAGTATCCATAGGCTCCCTTTCGATCCTTAGCAGGTCCACGCACCCTCCATAGCTCCAGTGTATCCAAAACAACCTGAATATGATGCAAGAATGCAAGAAATATGCAAAATGCTAATGCAAAGTGTTCTAGGACCTAAAATGAGAAAAATGGTGCAAAGTAGCCTATTATGAAAGATGTATGCATGAAAACTACTCTAAATGCATGCTAAATATGCGAAATATATGATATCAACTCCCCCAAACTTGCCTTTTGCTTGCCCTCAAACAAACAAAATTCAAGAAAGGAAGAGAGGTTTAAAAATGGGAGCTCAAATTTCTAAAAGTGTTTAAGCAAATGAATCAATTCAATGGTCCTAGTTCTCAATTCTAAGATGCAGTACACAAACTT